CACATTTGCAAAGAATACGCAACCTCAATTGTGATAAGTGAAAGTTGGAGTGCTGCTAAAAACTTTATGAGAAACTTTCGGAATGACATCGTATATATATAACAAGCATATATATATATAAAACTACAGAAGAAGCCTACAATAAACTTAATGTGTTCAAGTGACTGTGTGCCATACAGAAGCTTACAGGCCTTTGGTTTTATTCCTTTTAATCATACAGTTATTAAATTCCGAATTTAGGTATGCGTCGATTCTCTGACAACTGAATCCTACTATCCAATTTTGCCTATCACTATGTTAATTATTTCTGCCGTCTTAATCTGTTTTCTTGAACAATACTCTCTTGTTCCTCATGCGCTATATCTACGGTAACTTGTTGTGCCTATCGAAATAAATTACATTGAACTGAATCTAATAAAAAACCACAGGGATCGTGCAGAGCAGTCACATGAAGTTAGAAAGAATGTACTCTGCTTGACTGCGCATCAGTGATCCAAACTTTCACGCATATTTTCAAAGATTATGAAAAACGCTAATGGCGATATTGCTCATGTTTGTTTCTGTCTTGTTTATTATTTATATCTTTTAGCTCCTTCAGGGTTTTGACTTTATTCATTTTGTTCATGTACTATTTTCAATCTTCTGTGAACTTTACACATGACCAAAATTTCTGTACGAGTGATGATACGTTTTAATAACCGAACTACTCTCTTATTTTGTGGCACTTTGAAAACGAGAGCACTACCATTTTTCTAAGCTCAACATTAATTTACATTTTGTCTTCATGGCTAAATTTTCATGCATTTTGCGTCTGTTGGAAAACAGCATCTTTGGTGGTTGGTTTTCTGCAGCAAGGCACTATGTCATAAACACCGCATCAAGTAGTTGTCGGTGCAACAAAGAGCAACAATTCGTATTGCCGCAAAAAAACCATCATATTAATGTTCTTCGTCCGGATTATCGTTAGATCAGCAGCGCATAACGAATCATTTCACCCACTTTCGGGGTTATCATCAAGATCCCAGTGCTGAGGTAGAGGTTTTACGCAAAGAAATGTTTGCGATACTATTCCAAATACAGACGTATGATTTCTGACTCACGGTGCGAAATAGAACTTTTCCTCATTTTCCATCAAAGCTGTGGAAAGGTGTTGCGATTTTCCCCTTCATATTCAGATTAGCGGTTATTCTCAGCATTCCTTGATACCGTTTACACGAAAAACCCATCCAGACTGATCCACATCAAGTAAAATGTCCGTTTATTAATGATTTGAGGTTGAGTACATTTTGGCAGAGAACAAACATGCATTCGTACTGTAGATTATGTGGCAATCACAAACATAAATGAAGGACTGTAGAGTCTTAGTTTTCCGTCAGCCCTGAGCATTGAATTAACTTATTTTTTAACGAATTTGTCTGTCCCAAATTTCTACCTAACAAAACAGGACGGAACGTGGCCATACATAAGTCTTACCTGATAGTGTTCACGTCGACTGACGAACTTCTCTGAGGAATCTCTCATCTCAAATGCCACTGAGGATGTGCTTCAGACAGTCCACCGATTCCATTGTGTAGATGACAGATATTCGCCAAATGGTCCAGTGCCCACTTAGAACGAGCTTGATGCTGAAAAGGAAAATCGTACAATAGTGTAATCTAAGCTGCCTCAGGATGCCTCATCTGCGTCTTTGCTGTTTCAAACCCTTCGTAAAATTAAGCTTGAGAATAATTAGCAGGAATTACAGCATTTCATTGGAAGTATCCTAGATGTACTTTCCACTTACGAATAGTTTCCAACAAATTCTCATCTAAAAAGAAACACAGAATCATGCAGCATAGTCTATTTCAACTGCCGGCCATTCTTGCGCCTTAATCGACGCAACGTGAGGAACGGTGTGGTGAGAAGGAAGAAAACCAAGTTGTCGTAGGCAATCGCTCCTACAATTGAACACAAGATGCAGAGGAAACGAAACTTTGAAGTAGATTTTTCAGTAGATGCTTTCAGAGAAAAGGCTAGACTCATTCAACGGAAGGGCGAGAACTCGGTAAAAGGGAAGAAATCCGGCTCACGGGAGTTTTCATTTTATAGAGAGTTATGCTCGGTATCATGAAAACATGGAATCATGTTGTTTTCTTTTGTGGATAATACGGCGGTGACCAATTTTCCATATCGGTGTTATGAACTGTGGAACAAATATTTGTTTTCAATGAAACCAGCTAAGAGGAAAATATTGTTTCCCGTGATCGTTCTCTATTCTGCCTCACTGAAGATTACCTGCTCCTGATCGTTCCATTTGACCGTGGCATAACGCTCTGGTAGTTTTTCACAAAGATACTAAGCTCGGTTGTTTTTCGTCCGGGTTTGATAGGAGTTTAGGGGGGCTGTCTGTGAGGGTCGGTTCGTTCAAACCTCACTTCAACGAGCTGCGCCAGAGACATCTCTTCTCAAGCAATTTTTCCCTCGCACCATGACCATGAACAGGTTGATCATCTATGCGAAGAAAGATATACACAACGAAACACGATGACCTCGCCAGCTCTCAGTGTATATATGTGTCTGCTGAAATCGAATACCGAACCCTGCCTTCGCAGAAAGTCATACAACTTTAATGATCCCAAATTTGTTGTACAAAATAGATTCGTCTTTTATTTGAAGAGAATTAATTTTCCTTGAGTAAAGAGTATTCCTTTCCACACAAATCAGCGTTGACTTCGGCTTCATCAGGTCAGTGTTGTTGCACGACACGGAGGCAGTTACTCAACGAAGCAGTAAAAAGGATGTTCTGCGTATAGGAGCGTTGACTTCGACGAACGATGAAGGTTAAATGGTTGGACCACGTAAGAAATAACACTATTTTCTTCAGCAGACATGAGACTTCAGCAGATGTTGAATATA